ACACTTTAGCTCCCTTTTCCTCAACAAAAGTGATGACAAATGCTGTGACCATTTTCATCTGAATTACCCCTGATGAACAATAAAATAAAGACACACAAAAGATGGACACAATACAAGCAGCATCTTTACATCATGACGCGTCCAATACAATGGACATACAATAAATAAGTCTATAGCATCAGATTCCTTTCACAATCATTTTTGTGGCCAGTGTTCCTGGACTGGTTGTATTATGTTTAAGGTGCACCTGCTTTTGGTTTGTATGTCAAACTATCAGATAAGCAGCATGTTGCTGACTTGAAACAAAATGGTTTCTTTGTTTGTGCGTATGCTGCCTTAGATCAGGACACTTAAACATCAGCAGATGGCACTTAGATGTCAACCTGAGGCTGTTGGTAATCATGCACATTCTGTAATAAACATTGTTTTACATGATCTCCTTTTCTGTGCCTGCACAGTCGAGGACAGGGTGGGGGATTAAATACGGAGCTTTCAAACTTTGAAAACCTTTAACTTAGTTGTTCCTTTAAATACAGTTAACTTCATAAAATCAAACTCAAATATCCCAGGGATACTTAGCAAGTTGGCTGCAACACGACTGTCAAAAAGGCGTTGTCATGGCAATATGACAACTTTGACAAAATGTTATAAATACAGTGCTGTGAGAAACCAGCAGACAGTCTCAGACAGTCTCAGAAAGCTTGTAAGATGCTTCAATCAGAGTCATTTGCATGTGTGTCTAGATTTACTCTCCTTTACTTTGGACAAACTTGCTTCTGTAAATTCCATGTCCATTATTCTCTCTCTTTTAGCTCTGTGTTGGTCTCCAGCAACTTCTCAGGAAAACATCTGTCTCTGTAGCTCCACTATGTTAGCCTGCTAATAGCTAACTGCTGTATGTATGCTCTATGGTAGTGGTGATAAAAGCAGGAAGCTCCGTCACAATCAGCGGATCACCCACTATCATAGACACCTTTAGCCTTGTTTTTATTAAACATATCAATTAGAACTGTTTCAGGGATTTGTTTGTGTGATGTTGTTGAGAAATGTGTTAATATTTAAAGCCATAAACAGAAACTACTTAAATATAACCTTTAAATGATGTTACCATAGTTGCAACAATCATAGTTATGTTAGATCCATTTGTCACCATTATAGAGGAAAAGTCCAACTCTGACCTGAAGTGACATGTTTAGCATGTAAACACTGACTACCTCATCCATCCTCACTGACTACCTCATCCATCCTCACTTCATTGCTTTCCAAATGGGACATTCAGGTTGATCTACAAAGCCCTGTCGTCCTGGTTAGTGGCAGATTAATAGAGTGGTGCAGGAATGAGTCCTAAACCTGGAAATGAGCTAGCATTTTAGCACATTAGGGCTCCCACGTCTCAAAGAGTTTTTGGTTAGATTCCCAAAAAAGAACCGTGGTTAACACAACCTTAAAAGATTTACGTTTGTTTCTGCAACATAAAAAATGTCGGCAAACACCACACTGGTGAATGTCTTGAGCTTTTATGTCATAAAAACAGCGAATGCTAGCAAATGTCTAAATGGGACTACTAAACCTCTGATGATTGCATTTACGCTTCAATTATTATAAAACTACGTTTTAGTATGTGAAAATGATCCCGCTGAACAAAATGTGTAAGTATCATAGATGTGTGTGCCACGATGCTTTTTTTTCAAATAATCCTAAAATCCAATGTCTTCGTTTTGTCGATGGAGCCCTTGTGACTGCCTACAAACACACGTTATCACTGCACCACTCTATATTATCTCACACATTCATTCAAACTGTATATAAAATGACTCCAAGGTATTGCTAGGTGTATGTTTAACGCTTTGGAAAGGGCCAGGCTAGCTTTTACACTGGTCTTTATGCTAAACTAAGCTAATCTGTTACATACAATTGAACATGTAGGCAGTAGTATCAATCTTCTATTCAACTATTTCTTTAGCATTACTCCAGCAGATATTAATGATACTACCGGCTGCATTCAGCAAGTATCTACTTAAGAAGTCCAGCCAAAGTATTAGTAGCAACAGGAGCAATTTATTGAATTTATCAAGAGTCTGTCTCAGTATTAATGAGTCTAACTTTTCTTTAGAGTAGACATTCAAAGCATGTCCTTTCTGTATTGGTATGTCAAGATGAGAAATAAGGCTCAAAGCCCTAATATGTAGTCGTGCGTTATTGGCTTGCAGCTTTGCTGCTTGATTTGATGGATTACTTAAAGCAGGGGTCTCAAACTCAAGGCCCGGGGGCCAAATCCGGCCTGCAACTTCATTTTATGTGACCCCGCAAGAGCTTGCAAAGAATACAATAAGTGTATTATAAGGTTACATGCCGATGTACAGAAGCAGGTTGCCCATAAACTACATGTCCCACAATGCATCTCGTTTTGTGACATGCGCACTGAAGAGACTTGCAATTATTTGCCCTAGACTTCTGACGTAGTTAATTACTAAGTTATTTTCCTATCCGATAATAATCCAATTCAGAGGGAATAATGTAATATAATACATTATTTTATATATATATATTATATATTTATATAGTTACAACCGGCCCTTTGAGTGCAACCTTTATGCGAATGTGGCCCGCAATGAAATTGAGTTTGAGCTACTGTATCTGAGTAACAGTAAACAGGATACAAGTTGCATACATACGCAATGGCCTTAAATGCTGATATATTTCTTTTAAATAATATTTGGGTCAAGCATTTGGAGACTGGAAACTTTCCCAGCATGCAGTTCACCTAACCCTTACATACACATATTCTAACATCTGGGCATTTAGAGTGTTTGTGGAGAAAGCAGCCCCCACACAGGAGAACAGCATGTATCTCCAGGACTGAGGCTTAGCCAGAAAGCCACACAGCTAACTACTGAGCCATCTTCACTTGTCATTTTGAAATGATTAGTGATCAAATCTAAAGAAAAGGCACAGAGATGTCTGACATTAGGGTTACAAATGCAGCTTCCTGGTCCATTTTAAACTGTGCTATTATGTGTTTCTTNTCTTGGTCGTATCTTATGCGGGGGAGATGGTAATTGCCTGACACATCTCTCTCTCCCACGGAAGTAAATTCTAAGGACCCTCAGGTGTAGGAGGGTCCTCGAAATGGACCAGGTGTTTTGGGCCGTGCCGTCACTATCTTCTTCCGGGTCGGTCGCTGACATCGAAAGGACTCTGACGAGTCGTTTCTTGGTGGACTTAGCTCTTCGACGACCACTGGAAGATAGCAAGATCGTCAAACTCTCCGCAGGAGTCGTATGACGTGGAGACGTAACCATACGTCCCACTAGCCGACGACTGTCCTTCCGTCAGACGTCTCCCAGTAATTGTGCCGGGTCTCCTAATAAATCGTCGGCGAGACGGAGGCGGACCTTCTGTAGTGGTCGAGAGCGACCGGAAGTCCTCCTGCGTCCTGTCAAGGTAAGGACTTCCTGGTCGCGCGTGTTTGTCGGCATGTGACAAAGCTGGACGACGGCGAGCCCGCGCCCGCCGATGCGCAAGTGCACTTCGGACGTGCGAGGTCTAAGTGTTGTCAAAGAAGGCGGTACCCGGTAATCCGTAATTTGTGTGTTTTATTCGGCGGTGTGAGCTAGGGCGTGACACCTTTTATTAGTAGCGACTAGAAGCCGAGATCTACATCCACTGTTGGAGCATGTAGTACCTCCAGAGCGGATGTACTCCTGCAACTGTAGTTTTACGAGCGCCCTCGTTTCGCGCCTCGACCGCCTTGTCGATTACCGAACTACCCTTGCTGGATACCTTTTGCTGAGCCGACCATAGAGCCTCGACTCCGCGAGGTAAACACCAAAACATGGGGGCACGACGGACTACTTTGAGAATGTTAACCGAGCCGTTTCGCACAACAACAACAAACACAGTCAAAATCGTAAGCGGTCCAACGGTAACGCGTAAAAGTTAGTAACAAGCGTCGTTACGAAATAGTACTGAATTTTTAGATGATAACCACATATGATATGAACGGTCGCGAATGGCAAAAGTGATGAAAGTATAATAGAATCTGCTTACCCTAGAGTATGTGTCGGACAAGTATGACGAGTGTCACGACGACACAATAGATGTCACATTTAACGGTATGGGCGCCAGTGGACAAATGAAGTAGAAAGTTGAAGTAAGATATAATCATTTAAGACATCTAACACATGTATCGAAAAGTTGACAAAAAACGTTTGATTGCAGCAATCTTTCCGATTTGACGTAAAGTAACAGACGTCATGGAACATCGCGCCTTTAAAGCTCCGACGTGTACCCGATTAAACCGAGCGCAGGAATTTTACGGGGGTGTTACGAAACCGCGTGCCTGGATTGAAAGGTTTTTTTGGGAACCGCCTCTTTTATCGACTTGGCACTGCCGTCGTTTCGTGGTAAATCTTACATACATCACCCTCCATCTTGACACAACCATTATTAACAATGAAGAAACAATAGTTAACAAAATACGTTCGGTTTTTTTTTACACAAGGTACTTTCATTTTCGTTGCAGTATTAAATCTATCTCGTTAAGCCTCCATACAAGTAAAAGCCATTTGTCCAATTACAACTTTTGGCAATCTCTCTCACCGTGTGAACAACCCGTACAGGTAAGAAGAACGCAAAAGGCTTCGGGCACCGAACCTTCGTATGGAACGAAGCAAAGACCTTCCTTCAACTGCGAACCTTTCTCCGCTATGCGTTCGGTCGTTGATAATAATTTCTTTCGTTTTTATTGAATTTAGCAGTAGGTTGTTGACCGCACACCACTCAGTCAGTTTCCGGACCTCCTCTCTATAGGCTGTCTCTCACTCTGTTTGTGGAGAAAGCAGCCCCCACACATAGGAGAACAGCATGTATCTCCAGGACTGAGGCTTAGCCAGAAAGCCACAGAGCTACTTACTGAGCCATCTTCACTAGTCATTTTGAAATGATTAGTGATCAAATCTGGAGAAAAGGCACAGAGATGTCTGACATTAGGGTTACAAATGTAGCTTCCTTGTCCATTTTAAACTGTCCTGTAATGTGCTTCTTAAATGTTTCAAATAAAAATTGTAGTGGCATTTGCATCCTCACAATAAATAAACTACTGAACGTTATTTGTTGTGTAGCCATTAGCTGCAAGCCCATTGGCTTGGCTATTAGCAGTTCTACCATCTGATTGGGCTAGAGGAGCATTCTCCTTGTCTGATTGGCTGGCAGCCAACCTATCACGTTCTGCCTTTGCCCGGGTCAGGTTTCTACGGTGATAGAATAGATAGCCTGGCAACAGGAAGCCAGCCACGGACATGATGAGAAGGCCCAGATTGATCTGTAGGAGGAGAGCCATGTCAGTGTTAAGAACAACATGTTTTATAATCTGTGTGTGTGTGTGTGTGTGTGTGTGTGTGTGTGTGTGTGTGTGTGTGTGTGTGTGTGTGTGTGTGTGTGTGTGTGTGTGAGTGTGTGTGTGTGTGTGTTCTATACCCAGTAAGGATCTCCATTGAGGTGTCCCAGCATCAGGATGAACAGTGGCTGTTGCAGCAGGGCGAAGGCAGCACTGACCATGGACTGCATGCCTGTCAGTGTTCCAAAGTGGTTGGCTGGATACCTGGAGCGGAACATGAGAGAGAAATGAATCACAACCCTAAAGCCCTGGATCCTGACCCTCTGACCCCCCTGTATGTGGGGTTACTTACACAGCTGCATAGAGACCTCCACAGCAGGAGTGGATAAATCCTCTCACTATGGTGTGCAGGACAAAGGACACCAACTACAAGAGAAGGAAAGAGAACCGACTGATAAACATGCTCTGTATGAGTCTGTATGAGTTTAAGATGTAACATAGGTTGTAATCCAGTACAGGTGTTTTTTAACCTGGATGGGCAGGTTGTCAATCATGGAAAGGATTCCGAAGGTGACCAATAGGAGGTTGGTGAAGATGAAAGCTCTCATGGCATTTGTCAGTTTCTGGATCTTTCTGTCTCTCTTTGTGGGATCATATTCGCTAAAGGGGACACATGCCAACATCTCAGTTTAATGTACATGTGAGATAAACTTTCTGAACCTACGCTATACAAACATCAGCATACTGCGTGTATACATCGCCTCCTCATACCTGTTCTTTGCATTTTCCTCTTCACACTCCTTCAACCTCCAGTCCATAATGTAGCCAATCAAAGGACAGGTGGCAAGACACAACAGCTGCATCGTTCCGAAGATAGAGGAGTAGAAACCAACTAGGGAGGACAGGCAGAAGCAGCGTGAGGTCCACAGATACACGCCTCTATGTACAGTACTTAAATAATAAAGGTCAAAGCCTTCTCCACACTGTGAGGAAAACAATTGAGACAGAGAAATAAGGGATCCTGTGACACATGCCAGTAACACGGTAACTGTAAATAATGGGATAGCTCAGTCTGTAAGGACTTGGCTTGGGAACCAGACGGTCGCCAGTACTGGTACTTGAGAGGTGCCAGGTCAGCTCTTAGGCCCTGTTAAGGTGCCCATGAGCAAGGCACCTTACCCTTACAATTCTCCCCAGGCACTGTATAGTTGATTCCAATTGCTTCTTATACTAGGATGTGTTAAATGCAGAAACTACATGTCACTGTGTGCGGTGCTGTATGCCGATTAAAATAGGATTATCCACACAGTGTTATTATATATATATATATATATATATATTAAATATCTGAATGATCTAAAAGCATTTTCAGAGACATGGTTTGCAGTGGTGATGTCCACTGTGACATTACCTTGTTCCTCCACCTCCTGCAGCAGCTCTTTTGAAGCTGAAACAGACAACAGCGTCAGACGCGTTAACACAACGTCATGACCCAGTTTTGGTCAATAAGACCTCTCTGAGGATCTGTTTTGTACGTCTACTATATGAACGAGTGTTGGTGTAGGGTAGAATTGTTACGGTTTGGCTGGCCGTGGGTGACCAGGAACTCCAGCATCTTGTTCATGGCACCCATAAAGAAGATCAGCCTCAGCTGGGTCATTGCCATGGTGATGACACTCCACAATAAGATGGGCGAGCACACAGAGTGACAGAGTGGCAGNACCTTCAGTCCATAATGTAGCCAATCAAAGGACAGGTGGCAAGACACAACAGCTGCATCATTCCGAAGATAGAGGAGTAGAAACCAACTTGTTCCTCCACCTCCTGCAGCAGCTCTTCTGAAGGGTTTGGCTGGCCGTGGGTGACCAGGAACTCCAGCATCTTGTTCAAGGCACCCATGAAGAAGATCAGCCTCAGCTGGGTCATTGCCATGGTGATGACACTCCACAATAAGATGGGCGAGCACACAGAGTGACAGAGTGGCAGCCCGCCTGAAGAAAGAGTGGGGATCCTTAGTTTATCTAATCTTACCTAGGCGACATAACTTCTAATTTAAGGAAAAGCTTGACAATTAAAACAAATCTGTGTATTATGTTGAAGATTGAATCGTTAATCATTTGTAATGGAGCTAGAATGAGCTTAGCACACATACTGTAGGCACAGTATTAAAGGTTTAAAGCTCAAAAACAAGACTACAAGTACAACAAGAATGAATTATGTTATTACCTTGGGGTGGGCTTTGTGAGTCTGCATGCTCGGGTTCTGGCTGCTTGGGTCCCATCATGTCTTCCATGAGCGCCACGTGGGTCACGTACCTGTCCCCAGTTACCTTGTCCTCAGTCACAACTCCACTCAGCTTCACCTTTTTACTGCAGACAAAGAGGAAGACATCAAATAACTACAGCCCTCAGCTAATAATGATCCACTGAAATCTACACATTTTACACAACATAGTTAAATACTGTATTCCGATTGGTCTGTTTGGACAATCTGCATTCCAAAAGCACACTGTTGCTAAGTTAAGTACATGTCCAGTCATAATAATCTGCAGAAGAAAGCCCGTTTATTTTAAAACCTCAGCAGGGTTTTTTTTATATTGTTGTTTGCTAAGAGTCCAAGTATTGTCTATATAGTAAAGACAATTTAAAAAGAGAATAATATTATTTTTTAAAGAGCAAGAGAAGGAAATAGGTTAGCATACAGAAAGATGGAGGACAGAGAAATCAGCAGAAGACATACAGGAAGTAAACACTAAAGGGAACAGCACAAGAAGACAGACAGGAAGCAAACACTAAAGGGAACAGCAGAAGAAGACATACAGGAAGTAAACACTAAAGGGAACAGCAGAAGAAGACAGACAGGAAGCAAACACTAAAGGGAACAGCAGAAGAAGACAGACAGGAAGCAAACACTAAAGGGAACAGCAGAAGAAGGCAGACAGGAAGTAAACACTAAAGGGAAAACAGTATGGGCTCTGGCAGAGTTTAAAGACTGGTCAAAGACTGCCATCCAATATAAGAGCCAAAAAAATAGTTAGTGTGTCTTCATGAGCACTGACGTGTATCTGACGTCTTCAGGTGCAGGGAAGGACTCAGCAGGCCAGTTCAGGAAGCAGTTGAGGAAGACTCCGCAGGCCATGGCCGACCACACCCACATGATGATGCGGAACGACACGCCCAGGTCATAGATAACCTGCGGGGGGGGGGGTGACAACAGAGAAGAGGATAGAGGAAAAGGATGAGTGGAAGAGAGGGGGAGAAGAAAACGTGTTTTAAAAAAGTCTTATTGCTTCTTTGTATGTGTGTCACATATCACTTTGATAACAGCTCTTGAGATCACAGCTGAGTTGTATTTCCTTCCTTCTCTTCCTGTCTACCTTTGTACTTTTTTATCATCCTCCTTTATAACCATTCTTCCCCATCGTTCTTTCTTTCTTTCTTTGTGTGTATTCAAGGTTCAAAGGCTTTTTTGTCATATCCACAGCTAGAGTGTAGTTATACAATGCACATGCTCCAATAAGTCCTCCAACAATGCAACATAAATATATATGACATAAAACAATACAACAAAAATAAAAAACAACACAAATATTTCAAGAAGAAACAGAGTAGAAATAAAATAGTGCAAGAGAATGTTGCAGGTAATGCAGAGAGGTTAACTCTATATATAAGTAAAACAGAATAAGATGATCTCAAAGTACAGTGTAAAATTAAATGTGTGTATGTGTGTGTGTGTGTGTGTGTGTGTGTGTGTGTGTGTCTGTGTGTGTCTGTGTGTGTGTGCATGTGTGACTAATTTGGCGTTATATCTCTGTTTTTGCCTGATTCTCTTACAACGCTATGTAACCCTCAGAGATGGGGTCCCCAAAATGAATGTTCTGATCTGGTACCCCCACAATACCCCAAAGGCAAGGATGTGTGTGTGAGTGTGTGGTTCTGGACCTTGACTCCAGGGAAGGTGACCGCAGAGGAAGCGTAGGATCCGATCATCAGGGAGAGGATGGTAGATCGTACGTTCCCGAACATGTTAGGCAGCTAAAGAGAGAGATAAATGAGTTTTAATATTAAACCAGTGAATCAACAATATTCAATATGCTGCTAAATCTATTGATCAGCTATGACCTTTGACCTTTTTCCAGGCATGACCCAGTGTACAATGTTAGAAGAATACATCTATTCATTTGCTGTCCAGAGAAAACGAATGTGAATTCTCAGTGATTGAATTGCACCTTGAAAACATAACCAATAGGTGGTGCTAGTGAATCCCTTTACACCAAACTCTGACACACACACACACACACACACACACACACACACACACACACACACACACACACACACACACACACACACACACACACACACACACACACACACACACCTTGGCGTGAGAGTTTGTGAACATTCTGAGGCCATGCAGGTGGTAAAAATGGAAAATAAATTAAATACAGTTTAGATATAGACTGGTGGCCTTCATATTGCATATGCTTTATATAGCCTATTGTGGTTTTACCATTCAAATCAGCAACATAATAATAACATTAACTTTGCATTTATTTTTTATACTTGCATTTTTAATAGTTTCTGCATATTTAACATTAAAAAAGTGGCATTATTTTTCATAGGCAAGGCAGGTTTATTTATCATAATAGCTTTGCTAACTAGCTAGTTCCCACTAAAGTTATATCAACAGTAACTTTGTGCATTTTAAATGTCACAGCCACATCTTTATTAGTTGCCCAAGTTTCGTTTATTGTTTCTTTATACGTTACAGATAACCCAAAAGTGTTAGCTTTAGCGTTTCCCTGCGCAAGCTGGTATCATGACCAAGAAGAGTGTTATTATACATGATGCGTGATGACTCAGCACATAGGCTTTACCTCTCACTTACATGTTATAATTGACACGTGACATACAGTAATGTCCGTGTACGATTCCACACTGAAGTAACAATATGCAATGCCTCATTTTCATCCGTCTGATGTACTAACGTAGGACCGGGGTCATAAAGGGGACTCAGTAGTCGGGACCTTGTGCTTCCTTCAAGTTTTATTTGACATTTGAAACAACAGCTACAGTTGAGTTGTTGCCAATGACATGTAAGTTTCTCCCTCCCTCGAACAGGGCTATTATAATGTATTATAAAAAAGAATGCAGTAAAAGGGAGAATCCAAGATAGAAATAATAAACACATTATTGCAGAAGTTAAAATAAAAATATAGTAATGTGATTGTTAGAAATTAATATATACATCTATAAAGTCATATGGGCACTAGTTTAGTGGTTTATTGAAATGTTGCGCACTTTCTTTTTTTTACTGACAGCTGTGACTAACAGCACTGTTCGAGCCTCTGTAAACAGTGCAGACTGATAAGAAAATCGGTCAGGCTGGGCTCTTTCATACTCACACAGTGTGGCCGCTGTGGGCACAACGTGTTCTCTGCTGGTATGTTATTCGCCAAAGGCTCTTATCTGACAAATCTACACTCTTGTTTGTTTGTAGCCTTTATTTATCCAGGTTAAAAAATCCCATTGAGATCAACGATCTCTTTTACAAGGGAGACCTGCCGCACATTGGTTTCACATGTAAAAGAAAACAAAAAAGGACGCATACAACATAATGACCGGGGTACAATTTACAAACGTATTCACAAAGACAGGTACCAGGAGTATCAAATATCAATTCCTCAAGCTGTGCTTTAAAATGATGCAGGGGAACCAAAATGCTCATTTTAATATTTTTTGCAGAGTGTTCCATTTAAGGTGAAAATAAAACAGATCATACCACAATGCCGAAAGTAACAGTTTGCTCATTGGGCACTGGGAGAAGAGCCTGAGTTTGTTCTGGCAACATTTAAAGAGGACATATTCTGCTCATTTCCAGGTTCATATCAGTATGTAGTGTCTCTACTGTGACATGTCTTCATGCTTTAATGTTCAAAAAGCTCTTTGTTTCTCTCATACTGCCTGTGCTGCAGCACCTCTTTTCACCCTCTGTCTGAAACCAGAGCCCAGTCTGCTCTGATTGGTTAGCTGGCTGGCTCTGTTGTGATTGGTCAACCGCTTAGAGAAGTCCCACCCTTAGCCTA